AATTATCATGTCAGCTGAGACAGAGAGCTCTTTGGAATAGGAGCTGCCTATCTAGGGCCATCATCTGCTATGATGAGGTCTTGATCTTTGTTGGTAAAAGAGGATTCACCTTTAATTATTTACACACTTAGAGCTAGGACCTGAAGTTGAGTTCCTCTGGTTGCCTGTGGTGGAATTAAATCTCTTGAAATTGATTTTTGCTAGGTGTTAACAAGCATGGAAATGAATCCCTCAAAAATATTCTAGTGCTGGAGGATATTAAAAAATGCCCTGGTTTGAATAGCTGCCTCCAGGCCACTCATTTCATTCCATTCTTAGTGTATTTCATGTGAAGAGGTGCCATAAGACAAGGAGAAAAGTCGAGTGAAAATTGAACAAATCGAGTGAACTCTCAAGTGATATGGAAATTATTGCTGGAATCGATATTTATGAGAATCACATACCTCACCGGTCTGACTCCTTTCTTATTCTGACATGTGCCTAGACCTCAGGACTCCCACTTCATGAGAAAATGCTCTGACAACTGACCCATAGTGGGAAGGGTGGTCATAAGCAATGATGGCTTAGGGCTATTCATCGGAAGACATAAAAAGCAGCCAACAAGCTCAAATGAATGCATTTGATAAGCAGTTTTGGCTCTGCAGTCACAAACCAGGCCAGGAAAGGGCAGAGCAAAGCTCAAAGAATTCTATTAAATCTTGTAACAGACTGCCAGCGGGCTCACCAGATCGGCTCGAAGTACTTACCCTGGGCTAGAAACAGTGCCGGTGAAGCCCGAGCGACCCCAAAGGTGGAGCAGGGGAGCCTGGCTCTGTGGAGAAAGGGGAGCCAGTCGAAAGAAGGGTTTTCAGTCCCCTCATTCACAGGGAAGGGGGATGGCCGGAAGTGGGGGCCCACCACCCTGAGCCCTGGCTGGCCGGTTTGCAAGCGAGGGCGGGACTGCCAGAGGGGGTAAAAGACCAGAACTGGCGTGAGGGGCTGCTGACAGTGACTCTGGGAAATGATGCAGGAGGCCCAAGAAGAGCTGGGGTGCGCTGACCCAGAGGAGGGAGCAGAGAGACCCCTCTGAAGAGGCTTGACGGCCCTGGGAGAAGAAGGCATTGGCAGTCGGCCGTGCCTCCAGCCCTGCACCAGAGATGGAGCAGCAGCCAGGGCTCAGAGCAGACAGCTGGAGCCCCAGGGCCCCATCGCAGTTTGCTGGACTTGCCGGGCCACGATTTGATTGCTGCAGACTAGAAGAGCTTAACGCTTGACGGCCCTGGGAGAAGAAGGCATTGGCAGTCGGCCGTGCCTCCAGCCCTGCACCAGAGATGGAGCAGCAGCCAGGGCTCAGAGCAGACAGCTGGAGCCCCAGGGCCCCATCGCAGTTTGCTGGACTTGCCGGGCCACGATTTGATTGCTGCAGACTAGAAGAGCTTAACCTGTTGCAATCTGTCGCTTATTGGGAAGCCTGTTGGAGCTGCAGGGAGTGAGCACCATGCTTCCTTGTGGTAGCATCTCAGCAGTAGCTGCCAGCTGCCAGTTACCCTACCTGTGGTTCTTGAGTCAAGGGTTGACTAATGCATTCTGGTTTGTTTTCTGGTTCTGGTGATGCCATTTAAGTTCACTTGTAAATAACCTTTCCTGTTATTCTTGTTTTATAAATAAAGTGTAAATAGTTAAATCAGTTAAGTGTTAGACCTTCTTGGGACCGCCTGTCGGGGGGGAGCAAGGGCCAGCTGGAAAGTAAATGGGTGCTGGCTGGAAGGCCTGCCCCACTCTCACCACAACATCCCTGATATTGGGAAGGGGTCGGAACTGTTGGGCTGCCACCCGGGTTACAATCTATTAAGATGTATCAGACACACAGAGATGAAACAAGGGTGACTGGGGAATGAAAGCCTTCAGCCGATGGGGATGGATGAAGATCATGGAGGTATCCAGGTGTCTCTAGGGACCAAAGAGATAAGTTTCTTGCTTGGGCTTTCATTCTAAATATCCCTTCTGAGTCCAGAAAGGGCTTTCATAGATGATGACATGTGTCCTGATGCTGAGGTGTAAAGTACCTGACTTTGGCCTTTGCCACATGTAAGAGCTTGAGCCTGAACTGATTCAATCTTTGCAGTTTAGCCTATCATGCAATGCTTGAACTGATTTGGAGGTGGATAGACATTCCCTTTTCATTCTGGACATGCAGGCACATGCTTGCGGGCTGGAAGCCATGGGGCGCTGGAGCAGCCCTCCCTTTGCTTACACAGGGAGGAGGTGAAGGGGGCATGGGCAGGCCTGGAGGGACTCTCTGATTATTTCACCTTCCACCCACTCAAGCAGCCCAGCAGAAAATGTTTATCACCCCAGATCAGTGTTTATCAACCCATTAAGAAGTGAAAGCCTCTCTTCATTAACAGCTCTTTTAAAACAGCTTTTCCAAGGAAGGACATTAAGTGACCCATTGATTAGCTCCAAAAAGTCTGTCTGCCTGTCGTCTCCCATGGCACGGACTGTAGCCAGCATGTGGTCTGCTAGCTAATGATGAGGTGTAAGGCAGAGGGTAGTGGGGAATAATCCCTGCTTAGCAGGGAGAAGCCAGACAGACGCTCTGTACCTGCAAATCTTGGCTCCCTGGCTGCAGCTCTGGCAGACGGGAGGGGTCACCCTGCTGTGTAGCAGAGAGCCCTGCCCATCCCAGAGAGCATGCTGGGAAAGTCTGGTTTATCTCAAACCAGCAAGGGGTCTGGGACAGACATTGCATAAAACGGTTTGACACAAATAATTTAGTCTGATTCTGCATTCAACCAGGTTTATCTCAAACCAGTTTCAGCCATTTTCCAACTGGTTTAAGTGCACTGAACATCTGTGTAATGGGTAAAAACTTAATGGCTGCTTCTTATCATGCTATTTATTGAATGTGTGACCAGGTGCACCCCCAAAGCTGGGAGCCCAGTCAGCTGATCTGGACTCCCAGTCGCAGGGAGATTGCATGCTGCAGATCACCTTGGTGCAGATCAGCACTGGATCAGCTGGCAGGGCTCCCAGTGGCAGGAGGTTTCAAGTGGACACACCAGGCTCCCCCTGCCGCAGCAATTAGGCATGATGGGATCTGATGCATGGAAGAAAGTATGACTCTGGGATGCAGCATGTGTGGCAAGGCAAGAAGCATGAATGTGTGACTATGCATCAGATGCCATTGTGCCTTAACCTGAACATCTGGCAGGGGGCTTTTGGTCAGTTGGCAGCAGCAGTGGATTCCGCACCGTGGGTTAGTGTCGCAGCAGGGTCCTACAGGAGGGCCGTGATCTCCTTAAGACCCCCTTCCTCCGTGCCAAGTCAGCCCAAGGGCACCCTCCGATTCTCAACCGCTACATCTTTGATGTTCCAGTGTATATTAGGGAGGCTGCCTTTTGTCTCTTGGGACACGGTCCGCTGTAACCTCTGGCTCTGTGGACTCCCGGGCCACTTGTGGGTCTTGTCCTGCAAGTGGGTGCTTTGGGGCACCCTAGCCTTTTGGGCTAGGTGTGGCTCCAACCATCCCTTATACCACGCCCCACAGCTGGAATAGACGTCCGTCTGTCAAGTACACTCGCCCTCTCCTGGGGGCCTCTCTGTAGCACCACCCTCTCTCCAGGGCCTTCTCCACAATAGCGCTGCCCCCTTCTCTAGGGCTCACCGCACTTGGGCTTCTCAACTGCCCCTCTCTGGGGCTGGGGTCTATGCACCCCATACACAGCACCCTTATTGGCGTTGGGGTCCCCACACTGCTGTGGGTCCCCTATGAGGCCTCCTCCAACCCCTGATAGCCTCACCCAAACCACCGGTGTAACAACAAAACAAAACAGAAACTCGAGCCTCTTGGCTATAACCTAAACACAAGGCGCTTGGCTATAACAAAATTGCTCAAACGTCCCTGGGCTGCCATCCCTTACTCAGCTTAAGCTATACCTGCAGTCAGTCTTCTTCTCGCATCTTTGCCTTAGCAACTCCTGCCTCTCTGGCTGCAGGCAGGGAACTGCCTCTGGCCTCAGCTCCCGGGCCTTATAAGAGACCGGGCCCGTTAGGGAGCTCCTGCCTCTCTGGCTGCAGGCAGGGAACTGCCTCTGGCCTCAGCTCCTGGGCTTTATAAGAGCCAGGCCCTGCCCCTTATAGTCAGCTGACCTCCTGGTTGCCCTGGCAACCAACAGGTGGGCTCCTTATTCCCTGCTAGGGCTCTTTCCTCGGCAGTTTCCCCTCTCGAGGAGCAGGGCACCTTACTGCTCTGCGACAATTAGCAACAGAGGCTCCTTGTACAAAACCCAATGAGGGGTAGGAGACATTGAATACAATCTACAACAGGCAGCACTGACCAGAGCTGTTGAGAGGCAGCGATGCATTGGGTCTGCCCTCCTGATCGCTCCCATGAGTTCCAAAGTCATTGTGCTGGCCGTTGTGGGGTACACTTCACGTGTCTCAACGTGGAGAGAGCCTTTCACTCCTCTTGGCTTTTACAGCCCAGAGCCCACTGCTGCAGGTCGGGGGCTATGTGCTTTGGAAGGAAGGAGCAGAGGGCAGTCTTCTGAGTAATATTGGGCCAGACATGGTGGCCAGACATGGTTTCAGGCCCTTGCCCCTTTTTGTCCCATAGTTTGCTGCTCTAGCAAAACCAACCAAAAATGTGTGAGACCATGTTTAATGTTGAAATCAACCAAACTAAATATTTTGAGGGCTCATTACTTTTAGCTATTTTTCCCCACTCTTTTCTGATTTTTTTTTTTCCCCTGAAGGACAATAAATTCAGCAAGCAAGAAAATGTTTTGTGACGTTGGATATATCCTCACCCAGTGAGTTTGTTTTAATTGAACAATTGGAGAGGAAAACCCTGGAGAGTTTTATTTAGAAAGTTGTAAGTAGCTTTTGCCTTTGGTGACTGACTTTTTGGAAGGAAATGACTTAGGGATTCAAAACCAGCTTTGAAATAATTGAAAATCTTCTGGAATTAATTAATATCTTTTCAGTTCATGTGAAGAGCAGTGCAACGGAGAAGAGACTGAATCTCTCTGCACTTGCACTCTTTGAGTAGTTTCACTTTTTTCCTATAATATTTTATTATATGAATATTTTTGTCATTTCAGCAGCTGTCTGTGAACAGCCCCTTCACTCTTTAGTGGTGCTTTGAATTAGATTCATGGCACTGGGAAAAGAGAAGTTATATTAAATAATCAGAACTTTGCTGAGGAAAAACAAGTGTAGGATAGGGATCCGAGCCTGACATACAGAGGACTAAAACTGAGATTAACTAGCTCCGCATTAGCTTCAATCTGATCAAACTAAAATCTTTAACAATGTTACAAATTAACTTCATATTCTCCTGAAACAGAAAGTAGCAATATACTTAGTAATGCCGTGCCATTGAACTTTAATTTACTGGGGTGTCTACTAGGAGGCTGCTTAATTTATCTATTTTTTTCTTTATTTGCCTTATACCGTTGGCATCCAGACAAAGTCTTCCACAAAAAAGGAAAGCTTTAGCATTGTGTGAGAACCATCCTGTCCTTGGCCTGAAGGATTAATTTATGGTGATCCATTGTTTGGTACATCTTGATCGTCGATTTTGGCAGCTAAAGGAAGTATCCTGCTCTCTCGGGTGGAAGAGGAAATGAAGGTAAGAGGAATTTCTTGTGAGCTTTGCTGGGAGGAAAGTATCAGAATGAGGGGTGTAGACGCTGAACATTAAGGTAAAAGGAGAAACAAAGAATTGGTATTAGTGAAGGTGAGGGACAGAATACTAGCCTATCTCCAACTACTGACATTCAGTATTAGCTTTCTTTGTGGCACTGTTGCCCCATAAGTGTCCCCTTGTACCTTCCCTAATGCAGCTGATACCGGCCACAGCTGGAGGCAGTCAGTTGTGCATGCTAGACCAGTATCTGGACACAGTTTGGGAATTCCTGTGCCCTTGCACATAAGTAGTGAGGAGCTGGAATAGATGGATCACAGGTGTAGTCCAGCAGGAAAGGACTAGGGGAGATGGATAGTGCAGGAGTGAAGGGGCACTGAGTGAGTTTCCATCCTGAATCTGGGGAGTGGATATCCTGCATCAGGGCACCTCTCACTCAACACCCAGCTAGTCTGATGTATGTTGAGGTTCCACGTGACCATTGTGGTGCTGTACTCAACATCTTTTTAACAATTTCTTGTGTTTTGGTGTTGTTCTGCCCAATTGCAATAGTATATGAGGAGTCAGAATCACTGAGAAGTGATGAGTACATTGATGCACTTTGAGGGGCCAAGGGAGCCATGGGCTGGCTGAATCCGAGGCAGGTTTGCAACTGGTTTGTGTCGGTGGAGCAATGCAGACCTGGATCACTGAGGAGAACAGGGAAGTGGCTCCACTTTGGCTTGTTGTTGACCATCCCAGCAATGGAGTTAAGACGGTCAAAGCAGATATGTCCTTAGGGAATGATCTTTTTAAGAGAGTAGAAAGACTGCAAGCTGACAGTAGGTCAGAAATTTTCCAGTAGCAGTTAGTCTGGTTTTTTCCTTGAGTAATAAATAGCTTGATATTTTCAGGAACTTGGCATAATCTATTACTCACTGATCATATCTTTTTGCCTGCCTAATATATTTGGACATCCTAGGCTATGTGTATGCCTGGGTAAGCACATGTTGCTGTACATGTGTATAGTCAGTATGATCAACAGACATGTACACACTTGCATGTCCAGAGGTGAATTTTAAACTGGGCATAAGTGCAAAATATGCAGTTACGCAGCTGTGAATTTGCCATTTAGAGAAATTGCCAAAACACAACAGAATTTAGCCCTTTTGCATTTTATCCTTTGGAGCGATTGCTTCTCTCACCACTTGCTTTGTTCTTAGATGGCGAATGATGAGGAGTCTCACTGGGCAAACACCACCTCAGTGTCGGAGTTCATCCTGCTGGGGTTCTCCAGCCACCCCAAGACGCAGCTGCTGCTGTTTGTGCTCTTCCTAGCTATCTACCTGGCGACCCTCTTTGGGAACAGCCTTCTCATTGCCCTTGTCAAGACTGACTCCCGTCTTCACACACCCATGTACTTCTTTCTGGCCAACCTTTCCTTTTTAGACATCAGCTACACCACCACTACTGTACCCCAGATGCTGGTCCACCTGCTCTCCACAAAGAGAAGCATTTCCTATGTTGCCTGTGTTGCGCAGATGTACATCTTCCTTTCTGTGGGGATAATTGAATGTATACTGTATGCTGTAATGGCCTATGATCGGTACGTGGCCATTTGTCATCCCCTACGCTACACAGTCATCATGAACAGGTCAGTCTGCATCAAGATGGCCATCGGCTTCTGGGTATCTGGCTTCTTCTTTGCCACGTTGAATGCAGCCTTCACCATGAGGTTGCCCTACTGCAGCTTAAATGAAATCAATCACTTCTTTTGCGAAGTGCCAGCCATTTTGAAGCTGGCCTGTGCAGACACACACCTCACTGAACTGGTCATCTTTGTGTCGGCAGTTATAATCCTGCTGACCCCACTGTCTTTGATCCTAATCTCCTATGTATTCATCCTGGAAGCCATCCTGAGGATCAGCTCCGGGGAGGGGAGGTTCAAAACCTTCTCCACCTGCACCTCACACATCACTGTTGTGACTCTCTTCTACGGTGCTGCCATGTTCATGTACATGCGCCCAGCCTCCAGCTACTCACCTGAGCGGGACAAAAAGTTCTCCCTCTTTTACAATGTGGTGTCTGCCCTCCTGAATCCTCTTATCTACAGCCTGAGGAACAAGGAGGTCAAAGGAGCCGTACTCAAAATGATGGGCAAGACAGACCACTGAGTTACGGTGGAGGAGGAATGGTCCTGTGGCTTTGGCTCTCAGCTCCTCTGTTCTGGATCCTAGTCTGGGAGGGGAGTGGCGTTTAGTGACTTATAGCCAGTGGAGATAAAAGTCAGGATGTCTGACTCTTTTCCCATTCCTAGAACGTGGAAAGGTCTGTGAATGCGGGCAGGCTGGGGCTGGGAGTCTGTCTGTCTGGATTCTTTTCTTTGAAATGAGAGAGAAATCGTTTCTTTCAGGCAAGAGTCGTGGAGACTGGGAATCAGAGCTCCTGGATCTGAGCCAGACTAACTTTGTGACATTCATGATATGATATTCAGTAAGAAAAAAGGCTAGATTCAAAACCCAGGAGTCCTGATTTCTTATCCTGCTGAGCCACAGTGATTCTCAAATGTCACCCATTCAGCTGAAAAGACCTGAATTGTTAGTGAAGTGGTAGAAGATTTTCAGGAAAACGCCCAGGACCTTGTGTAGGCACTCTGGTAATAAAGCCATTTCTGTCAGCTTATGCTCTGTCCTCACAAACCAACCTCAGCCACTTTCAAGGTGTCTCTCTCTGATGTGCTTGTGGGGAAACCAGTAGGGCGCTCTCACAGTAGCTTCACCTCTTCATTATTGGGTTTGTCGCATGGGACTGGGAGTTGAAGGGTGGGATGACATGATCAAGGTGAGCACCCCTGGCAGTGCCAAGGTTGAGCTGTACACGCACCCATTATGGCACCATATGACTGGGCATATACAGCTACTGTACTGTAGGAAAACCCTGGGAGAGCCTGAGTTGGTGTTGGTCGCAGCACAGGACCTTCTTTGTTTCCCAAAGGCTGATGTTCACTCCACTGCTAAGAACCCAACAAGACATGTAATCCATTGACAGGGTTTTGTCTACCCAGAACTCATCTTGTTTTATAATAGGAGCAAATTGCTGCACGGCACAAGGCAGGTTACAATTAATACAGTGGTGCCCATGCAAAGAGTCAACCACTTTTACTAAATGTGTAACCAGAGTGGTGCAACTGTCTGCATTTCTTGGTTTCATATTTGTTCAGGCATGACTTCTGAGAACAGGAGAGGTGTGGTATGTACACTTTTTCATATTTTTGAAAAGTGAATTTCATTCATGGAGTTGAATGTCATGAAAAGAGAAGTGTCCATTCATATATTTCGGTTCAGTTTATTCTGATTGGTTTCTATGACATTTGCTAAAAATACTGCAAATACTTGGTTATTTTACAGTGATGTTGCAGCTATGAGTACCCAAAAATTATGTGAAAATCAAGGATTTTCGACACTGATATTTTTATTCACTGCAGAGTTAACTCAGATGAGCATTATGCATATCCTTGGGCTATTAAAAGCAGGAAGGAGAATTTCATGAATCTATGCTTGCCAGGTGATTTTTTTTCCAGATTGTAGTAGTTATTGTGAAAGGTACGGTAATATTATTTATCTGCTTTCTTTCACTTTTTATATTTCCTCCATTTTGCAGGCGTTTAAAAGCAGTAATGATGGGAAAATAAATGGAAATCCAAAACCTTACATGGAAATAAAAGTATCCTAATATCAAAATGGACTCTTTTAAATAACATTGAACAAGTTTGGAACATACTCTGAACTTCATCACTGGTGCATGGATGACATTTGCAATCTAGAGAGCTCAAAGTAAAGGAAAATACAAGAAAAACGGAAATGTTTAATAAATCAGGAAATGTAAATTCCAAGTAGTATTTTCTCAAACAGGGCACATATGCTCCCATAAGGCTGCTGCAACAGAAACACCAGGAGATTAACTCCTTCTCTTTTCACAATATAAAAAAGGGAAATCAGAAAAAAATTGGTTTATTACATATTTAATTCCAGTGTTGGTTGCATTGCATATTCAGTGCATTGGTGTTGGTTAATTTTTCATATGCCTTCTCCAAATGATGTGTCTGTAAAAATCTGGTATAGGGAGGGATGAGCATTTTAGTGAATGACACTTTAATGAGGGCTATCAAACATAGAGGTGTTGAACTGGATCTGGCCTTCAACACCACTCCATCTGGCCTAGCCAGGTACTGGTGCGCGGCAGTAGTTGTGGCGGGGGCCTGGCCCAAGCGGGTGGCGTGCTGCAGAATCCGGGGAGAACCCTCGGCCTTTGGTGGGCATAACTAACTAAAATATTGCCTTCTGATCTCCAACCTAAACCTATTCAACATCAGCTTATTACCATTGTTCCTTGTCACCCCAGGTAGTGTTGGGGTGAAAAGGGCTCTTCCTATTTGCTGGTGATCTCCCCTGATGAGCTTGTAGGCAGCCACCAGGTCCCCCCTCATCCTCCTCTTGCTGAGGATGAACAGGTTCAGGTCCTTCCGTCTCTCCTTGTAGGGCCTGTCCTGCTGCCCTCTCACCAAGCAGGTGGCCCTCCTCTGAACCCGCTCCAGGCTGGCCACATCCCTTTTGAAGTGCGGCGCCCAGTACTGGACGCAGTACTCCAACTGCAGCCGGACCAAAGTAACATAGAGGGGGAGTATCACCTCTCTGGACCGGCTTGAGATGCACCTTTGGATGCATGACAAGGTACGGCTGGCCTTGCTGGCTGTAGTCTGGCATTGGCGGCTCATAGATTCATAGATTCATAGATGTTAGGGTCAGAAGGGACCTCAATAGATCATCGAGTCCGACCCCCTGCATAGGCAGGAAAGAGT